AAGGAAGGAAGGAAGGAAGGAAGGAAGGAAGGAAGGAAGGAAGGAAGGAAGGAAAGAAATCATGTTCTTGATAATGACCCTTGATGAGAAACTTAGTTTCAAATGAGATTTCGGTTTTAATGCTCCATACAACAATGACTCAAAGTCATGTGACATGGGTCCATCTCAGGACTGGAGACTTCACAGACCTCCCCACACTGCCACTATGCCCAGACTGTCCTGTCTTTCTATCTCTTCTACAAATAGCCCCGTGACAGAAACCAAATATAACATCGGCCATTGTGCCTCCCTTTTCAGGCTTCCGTGAAATTGTGAGAAAATTATCAGCTGCTCATCTCTTTCAGCTTTTCCCAGAAAGCAAATGGCTTTCTCTGTCATCTGACAAAGTTCCCTGAAGCCAGCAGCACCTTCAGAATTATCCCATGGGTCCATATCTTTTGAGGAATAGTTTATGTCTTTGTTGGGACAATAAGTTTTGTGTGTGGGTTTTTTTTTAAGAGATTGGGTTGTTTGTTTGTTTGTTTTTTTGTTTTTTTGAGACAGGGTTTCTCTGTATAGTCCTGGCTGTCCTGGAACTCACTCTGTAGACCAGGCTGGCCTCGAACTCAGAAATCCGCCTACCTCTGCCTCCCAAGTGCTGGGATTGAAGGCGTGCGCCACCACCACCCGGCCAAGAGATTGTTTTTATTTTGTGTGTATGAGTGTTTTGCCTACATGTATGTATGAGCACTGCAGGTTTGCCTGGTACCCATGAAGGCCAAACGAGGGCACTGGATTCCCTGGAACTGTAACTATGGATGGCTGTGACCCACCACGCAGGTACAGGGAGCTGAGCCTCAGTCCTATGAAAGAGCAACACGTGCTGTTAGCAACTGAGCCTGAGCCATTTCTCCTGTGCAAGCAATTGAATCCCCCCTCTCTCTCTGTGTGTGTGTGTGTGTGTGTGTATGTGTGTGTGTGTGCATGTGTGCTTGGTGCTCCTTTCCCCTCCCATCCCCCAAATATCCTTTCTATCTTTGTATTCTGCACCCCACACAACTCACATGAAAGTAGTTTCACAGTTATGATTTATCTCAGCAGATACACTCAATCGAGACACAGCAGGAAAAAGACATTAATAGCTGGAGGGTGCTGGGGTCAAGCACATACTTATTTCAAGAGCAGGGCTGGTTTTGGATGTCCTTGTCCTGGAAATCTCACTTGTGTCCTAGAGTTAGAATTCTCCACAGGACTTGGTCCCATACCTGTTATGTAACCACCAAGGTCCCATACAAAGCCTCAGGTGAGTATAGTGACTTCTCGTACCTTCTTTAAACATGCTGTGGGACTGGAGTGACGGTTCTATGGATAAAGGTGCTTGCTGCAAAAGCAAGAGGACCTGAGTTCAAATCCCCAGAGCCCACATAAAACAGTCAAGGCTGCACTGTAACCCTGTAAGCCTGGTGCTGTTGGAGACAGAGATAAGTTCTTGGGCTTGTCAGGTGCCAGCTTAGCTCCAGATTCAGTGAGAGAACCTGTCCAAGGGCAAAAGGCTGAAGGTGATAGAGTAGGGCCCCCTGCATTTGCAAATGTGGGTACATACACATACAAAGGGCTAGTGAGAAGCATCGGTAGGTAAAGGCACCTGTCACCAAGCCTGGTGGCCTGAGTTTGATCCGTGGGACCACATGGTAGAGCGAGAGAACCTACATGCACAGTCAAACATAATCACATGCACACACACACAATCACAAGTTTTTAGAAGTAAACCTGCTGTGTTAGCTTTTTGTTACTTTGACAAAATACCTGAAACCAACTGGAAGAGTGGATTCAAGCTTGAGTTTCAGCCCAGTCTCTTGACTGCTTTGGGTCAAGGCAGAGGTCATTCATGCCAGGAAGCAGGTGAGGAACAAGGTTGCCCTCCTCGTGGAGTCTGGACCAGAGATGCTCTGAGTCTTTACAGGTCCGAAGTGATGGACTCCCTCCAGCCAAGCCCCACCTCCAGTCTTCAACATGTGAGCCTCTAAGGACATCCCAGGCCCAAACCAGAGCTACAAGGACAGCCTAGTTCAATGTTTTGTTAAATTTCCTGTAGATAAGTTATACGTGTTCACGTGTGTACAGTTGCACATGCCCATGAGAAGTCATTGGCTGTCCTACCTTATTGCCTTGAGACAAGGTGTGTCATTACATTACATGCTGGAGCTAGACTGTTGGCCAGCAAGCCCCTACAAACTCCTGCCTGACCCCCACCCCTGTCCTGGGGTAACAGGTATGCAAGCAGCCATGTTTAACTTTTACACCATGCTGGGGATTTGAACTAAGATCCCCATGCTTGCATAGCAAGCACTCTTGCCCACTGAACCATCTCTCCAGCCCTTAGTTCATCTTTTTTGCCACAGGGTTTGCATGTAGCCAAGGCTGGCTTCAAACTATGTAGCCCAAATGAACTCTTCGTCCTTCTGCCTCCGACCCCGCAAGAGCTAAGATTACAGGTGTGCTCCTCCATGCTGGTTTGCAGCCTGGTGTCTCTTGATTCTATTTTGGGCACAGAAAATGTCTTTCCAATCTCTCTGTGAGGATTCTAGTTTAGTTCTCAGAATTTGACCAAGGGTCATTGCCATGGCTACGGAGATACATGAAACTGTGCAGCAAAAAGGAAAAGAAAAAAAAAAAAAACCTGCTCTGTTAACTCTAGCCTCACACTCAAAGGAAATCTCCAGGCCCAACAGCTTCATGGAGGAATTCTTCTCATATCTGAAAAAAATAAGCACAGTGGTGCAAAGCCATGATTCCAGGTCTCCAGAGGCAGGAGGATCAAAAGTTTGAGGCCAGCCAAAACTCTTTGAGGATCTCTTGAGATCTCAAAAGAATTCTTTTTCTTCTTTTTTTTCTTTTTCTTTTTTTGAGGAGGGGTCTCACTATGTAATTCTGGAACTCTATATATAGACCAGGTTTA